ATTGGGTCGACCTGCAGTAGCGTGGGGCAAGCATGGATATTGAGAAACCCGCCGCGCCCCCACCCCATTGCCATCACTATTTGCGGATATATAGAATATTGACGGGCTGGATCGTGTGCTTAAATTAATATATTAATAATTCTAAAATCTTATTAATATTTTACAATTATATTATTAACGATTTTAGTTCAGTTACTAACAATTTACCTTTATTTCATCAACCCTTATGAAGGAATTAGTAAAGTTGTATCCACAAGTAACATGTAATCGAAGTAATAAAATTCCTAGATATATCTAGAGTCATATTCCACAAGATCTTCAAGGTGAAGTCATAAAATCAACTCAAGAATCCCATCATCCTTCTTACATTCTCCCAATCAATCGACTCATGCGCCCCAATTACACCATGCCTATTATTCTGCCAAATTCTTACAAAATTAATCATCATGCATGTCATACATCATAAAACACATTCTCAAAATTTTCAGCAGCTTGCAACAACAACAAAGTCGAGTTCCACCTCTTAGGAACATTAAAACATAAGCCACATTTACCTTCAATCGTCTGAACTGTGTCAAGCTCATTAATTTTTCTCAATCTCTCTAGTGAGTTTCTCACAAACCACATAGCTTTTCTAATCCTCTTCACATACAAAGAAATGTCTCTCAATCCATCAAATACAACCAAGTTTAAGATGTGAGCCACACACCTCATATGAAGGAAAAAATTTATTGCATATACTTACCAAGGAAGTTATGTCTGAATCTTCCATTGGTTGACTGCATGTATTGGATATTTGACCATTTTTTAGTTGTTTCCTTTTTCGTTTTTGCTGACTTTGGCTAGTATCATGGTCGTCATTATTTTTAGCTCACCGAAGTAGGGGGAAATCTGTAAAACAAATGGTGATGTAGAGATGGAGACGCGGTGGATGTGGGATGGATGGAGGGGAATGGAGATGACGAGAGGGATATAAGTTGCCAACTTATCAAGGTCTTGTCACGCGAGGACATGAAGCAGGAGCTGGGGGACAACTAGTGGTTGGATGGCAGCACCAGAGATGGAGGAGGATGAGGGCAAGCTTTGCTTGGGTGGGAGTAGGAGGGAGGTAGGGTGACGAACTAGAGTCAGCCATCTTGATGAGAAATCGAGTGATAATCCTAGGGATGCCTAGGATCATATTCCACTAGGTCTTTTGATGGTAGCTACTCAAAACTAGTGATTGAATGAGTAACAGAAAGTAAAAACAATGGGTTGAGGTTCCCTTTGAATGAGTAAAGCAAGTAAGAGACAATTGTCTAGGAAGTATAATCTACATGAGCACGTATAATATCTCCTAGATAAGATGCATATATTCATCGATGCTATGATAAAAATCTTATCCCTTCCACTAAGATCATTCCCTACTCGTGCATGTGCCTCTTGGGATAGAGATTTAACTAGATACTGAGTGCTTTCGCTTCATACCATCAACTACTTAATGAAGTACAAGGAAGTAAGGATAGCGCATCGTTAAGTGTGAGTGTCTTGAGCCATAATGATGGTCTATGATATTTGTGGTTTTAGGCATCAATCATCATCATCATTCGAGCCATAGAGGGTTGTACTTCCCCTCTATAAATGCCTAAATGATCATGCCCTCTACAAGAGATTAGTTTTCTTGTCTCCCATGATGGTATTATAAGCAACACACATAGTAATGCATCATAGAAAGATAACAAGCATACAAAGAACTAGACCATCGATGCTCCAAGAAAGACCATTGATGCTCTATGGCATCTCATTAACTCATAGAAAGTAATAGATCACACATCATCGAATCAACATCCCAAACAACAAAGGGCTTAGCTAGCCATGCGAGATTGAAGAGGAATCATCAATGATGGAGTCAATCTCTCCTCAATCTGACAGAGCTTTCTGAGTGGCAAAGTTAAGTTGTAACTGAAGTTTAAGCTCCTATTTATAGTACACGAGAGAGGGGTTAAACTAGGATTCAGATTCTCTAACTTGAGGCTAAGGTAAGGCTTTCTCAACCTCTATGCATGCTTGGGCTTCTGGCAGCGATAAGGACCGCAACTAATTTTCTTCTTGGGCTGGCCTTGTTGGCCCATGGACAACCTATCCTGAAGATTGATTTCATTTTGTCCAGGTTTCCATGCGAGACGGTTAGACCAATTGCTGGGCCACCGCTGGTTCTGCTTCTGCTTGGGTCGAGTCTTCCTCCGTTGATCTTCTTTTGGGCTCATATTGTGGTTACTAGTAGGGTTTTTCGTCATTGGACCTCATCTTATCATGAAAACTTCATGTTCTTCTCTTTATAGCTCATTTGGTCCGCTAGAGTTTTCCAATGCTTGATTCAAGTTTCCTCAGTCTGCTTTGTACTTCGAAAACCACCATATATATACCAAGAAGGCATCAAATAGTACAAAGGATATATGTGGTCTATTAAAGGCTCATTGATCAAAGGTTATGATCAGTGCAGTCAAAATCGCGCTTTAAAGCGTAAAATCGTACGATTTTACGTTTCTAGGGTAGGAAAACGTTTCAAATCACCAATAAAATCGTTTGTTACTCAAAATCGGTCAAAAGCGTAGTAGAATCGGTAAAATCGTTAAAATCGGTTAAAAACTCGTTTTTATACCGTTTTTGTACGATTCCAAGCAAAGGAGCAAAACTGTCTCCTTTCATCAAAACGACGTCGTTTTTTATTAAAAAAAAAAACTATCGGGCTCCCAAAAGGGAGAAGGGGCTACGCTGAACCCTAATTCCATCTCATCTCCATCTATCTCCAGCGCCGCACCAACCCTTCTCGTCATCTCCCTCGGTCGCCGAGCGTCACCTCCCTCGGCCGGCGCTCGTTACCTCACTCGGCCGCCGCCCGTCGCCCTCGTCCGCCGTCCGTCGCCCTCGTCCGCCGTCCGTCGTCATCGCCCGTCGCAAATCAAGCGCCCCGTCGCCCGCCGCCGCCCTAACTCCGTAGTCTGTAGCTCGTCGTCCTCACCCGCCGGCCGTCGCTCTTCGCCGTCAAGGGTTTTCTCTTTTCTCGTTATATTAGTACTCATAGTATTTGACCTTATTGTGGGTTACGATTTATGTTTATGACCTTATTGTTAAGATGTTATGAGTTTGTTCTAATTTAGACATGAATTGCAGGTATTTTTTCTTTTATCTAAACTCTGTGAACTCGTATTTTACATAGTTTATGTCGTACTTAACATTATTTTAACTATTATACAGGATGCATCAAAAACTTACGCTTTTACGCTTTGAATCACCGCTTTTCGATTTTACCCCTTTTCCGCTTTTAGGTAGAATCGCGCTTTTAACTGCATTGGTTATGATTTAGATATGAAATACAAGAGAAAGTACTAAAGATGCATTGATAAAAGGGGAAATGTATAAAAAGAGAAAGAACATATGCATCTCTCACTTTCTCTTGCCTCTCGCTTACTGCTTAGGGTTAGAGATTATGAGTTAGAGTTATGGAGAGGATGAGCTTAGATTATGTTAAAATTCAGATGGACTGTATGCTTAGGTAGATAAAGGGTTTGGGCTAGGTTGTAGTAGTAGGCATGGGGTTAGGGGTGGGTTTGTAGCTGAGTTGTCTGTTGTTTGGAATTCTGAATCAAACTCCGAACAAAACATCATCATTTTTGAATTCTAACTCACATATGCTCTTGCGTCGATTTAGTCAGTTTGCCAGTTAGTCCGGTTAAACCAAACCTAATGTCGACCCTTACTAGTTGAGATCTGGCTTCCCTTGTGATTTTCCTTAATAAATACTGCAAAACATTAATTATTCTTGTAGTAGGATCAACCCACACCGGGGTAGGTGGATCCTTGTTTTACAAAGTGATAGCTGTAATTAGGTGAGTCACGTACCTAAACTCTGTGGATAATTGTTTTATGTCACACACTCTTTATCACCTCTATTAAAGTCTGACCTTGCCCTCGGGCTCCTCTTGGGAGCGATCGGTCGACATCATGGACTCTAGTATCCAAGGCTACAATGATTGAGATATGTAGTATTTAGGCACACATGCATGTATGTGATCCTAAACCGATATTTCAGTGCTACATCTTGTCTTGGTCGTGGAAACATGGAGTCGATTATGCCCGAAAAAACTAGGAGATGTTCTTTCATTAGTCTGCCTCTCAATTTCTAATTGGGTGGCAATGATTGTTGAATGCATCATGCAACCTATACCACCTTTCTATAGCGTGTGTATTGACTCGAGAATCTGGAACTCAAAAAATACGATGATCTTTCAATTATTCCACATTTATTGTCTTTGCCAATTAAATACCAAATTCATCTCAACTCATTCTTTTAACCTCGGTCTTAACTACCCTTCTCTTGCTATATTTATCACCTTCACCTTCACCTCGTATCCTCCTCTATCTCGTGCATTGAAAATTAAATTTTATGGTATGATCCACGCAGTGTTCCTCAATTCTAGTTGTTCGGGATGCCAGATGATAGGTACTTTTAGCTCATGACTTGCATCATAATGATAATTCTTACTCTTAATTAGAGGAATTCTTAGCTTCTCGCGGTGCTTTGCAACATATGTCATATGGTCCATCATTGTCTCATCAAGATGGCTGGGTGGTTGCTTGGCAGCTAAAGGATCAAACTATTCATGTAGTTGCATAACTATTTGTGATTGTATTTATCTTACGAGGGTATCAATGATATCCTAGTTTTTTCAATCTGTGAATTAGTCTATGCATAAAACAACGCAAAAGAATCTCTTTTTTTTTAACCAGTTGAGTATTTTGTACCTAATCAACTCGAATTTTACTTTGCTCTATGTAAATGTAACATTTATTTACTCGATATACCTATGGAAAAATGGATCTAGTTTGAAAAAAGAAAAGAAAGGATAAGTTCTCGTGCAAAGTCCCGGCAAATTGTTTATTTTGCGAAGAACAGAAATTCCTCTTGAGAAAACAATATAACGAAAATAAAACGAAAGAGACACGAATTAATTTTTTAGATTTAAACAGGAGACGACCACCACGTCCCTTACAGCCGGCAGCCGCAAGCAGCCCCTCCTTCCTTCCTTCCGATCTCAAATCTCAAATCTCAATCTCACTATTCGCCAGCATCTCTCTATTACTCCTAGTCCTATACCTCCGCCGCCGGGCACCGTCTCAAATTGGCAATACCCTCCTCCATTCCCTTCGACTCCTCTTCCTCTCGCCGGCTACCAACCGCATTCGGCCACCGTCACCCATCTCTCTTCGCTGTGTAAGTTCCCACTTCCCTTTTCTCTCTGCCATTACCCTTTTGCTCTTCTCTAGACAAGCATCTAGCTGAATAAATTGTCTTCTGCTGTCCTTGACTTTGTGATTAGCACTTGCTTAATTTGGAGCTTTACAAGTTCACTCTTTTCAGTGCTCCTTTAGCTGGTCTAATCTTGGAAGAAATTGGAAACGACCCTTTTCGTTTGTGGGATCAAGCTAGTCTTACAACATAGACTTGAGTTCGTTCATTAATAAAAAAAAAAAGAAGAAAACAATGGAGTTGCTTTCGATTCACTCTAAGTTCAGTGGATCTCATGGTGAAATGGGGTGTAAAAGAAGCAAACTTTTGTTGATTGAAAATTGGGGAACTTCCTTCTTTTATCCCCTCTTTGTATTTTTGTGGGCTAACCTCATTCACCGACGCCTGGGTTGTTTGTCTTTTGCTTAGTCTTAAAGCTCTCGTATGAATGCGTACATGTCTAGAATTGTAGCCATTAAGCTTTGTAACGTACTTGACATAAGGTGTTTGCTATTGCAGCAAAGCTATGACATTGAGATGTTGGCTAGTTATTAGCTCTTTATGCATATTCGTGCTCGTATTTCTCCTTATTTGAGAATATGGTGTGTTGTCATTGTGTTTACTAGAATGAATGTGATTTCGTTTTCTGTTCTAGTTCCTTCACAAATTTCTTCAATCGTTGTTTCGTGCAGAGCAAACTACCTAATTATCCAGTTTGATATCTGGCGGATAGCTCTCATTCGCATTATTCTCCAGCATATGCCCACCTTCCAACTTTCAATGCTTTTCCAAAGGTTCAGGCACCTATTCTCCATTCACCTTCAGAGCTGTCAAATCCACCGGAAACTGGGAATTTTCAGCTGACTAGTGCCACTGCCACCTCGATGCCACAGCATCTGGTTAACATCCCTTTGCAGAAGCAGAAAAAGAAATTGAAGCAAGAGCCAGCACCAGCATTTGCAGTTAGTATTATGGGAGTGGAGAGACGTTGGCTTTTCATTCTTTTCTCTGCTGCATTCACTTCTCTACTGTTCCTGGTAGTTTACTCCGGCTCTGCTTTCAGCTTCTCCAAGCCCATACCTTCTGTTGTACGCCATGGCACCCACTACCCACCTTCTTTTGCTTATTATATTTCTGGCACCCGCGGGGATGGTGATAAGATGTTTAGGTTACTGCTTGCTGTCTATCACCCAAGAAACCGTTATTTGTTGCATTTGAGTGCTGATGCTTCAGATACGGAGAGAATGAGATTAGTTGCTGCTGTAAATGCAGTGCCTGCAGTAAGTAGTTTTGGGAATGTTGATGTCCTGGGAAAGCCAAATCGCCTCAGTTATATGGGGTCTTCACATATCGCATCCATATTGCGTGCTGCCGCCATTTTGTTGAGGTTGGATTCTGGGTGGAGCTGGTTCGTGGTATTAAGTGCAGTGGATTATCCTCTGGTGACACAGGACGGTATGTTTGCTTCGGTAATTCTCTACTAAATTGATATTTTTGCTATTGCTTGGTTTAGCAGCCATTTTTGTTCACTTTGGTGATTGTTCTGTTTCCTCTTTTACAAATACAATAAACTTGAGATTTAGATGAGAATGTTGGTTTATCCTTCACCAACCAATTAGCATCTGGGGCATTTTTCGGTGGTATCTCACAGGATTAGATGTGTATTGTTGGCTTTGGGGGAAGCTAGAAGTATTGTAGGAGTTTGAGTACCGGTTCTAGTTCTAGTTCTAGTTCGTTTCTTCCATCTGCTAATTGGATTGCGACACAATTGCTTGTGCAGCTGTACATTTTGACCATGTTAAGTGGCTTGGATTCTCCTTACATGGAGCTTGGGGTTTTGAAAATTTGCTCAAATTTTACTCGATTATAGAAGGCATTTGGCTGGCTAGTTTACTTACTTCATGGAGCTCTTTATACTCCTTATGCATCCAGGAACCTATAGTATTTGGTGCAAGATGGCTATGTGATTAATATGCACCAGTTTATGAAGGATAAAGGTACTTACTGCTAGTGCTATTAGGTGAATGCTGCAGTTTTGTGTTAAATTAGGATTTGATCAAGCAAACTCTGGTAATAGTTAGCCTACACATGTTGGATCCTGCGCAGCAGATAATTTTTGTTCTTGTTGGGCATGCGAGAGCAAATGTCTTCCATGCAGTGCTGCTGACCATTAACCTATTAGAAGATTTATTATCTCTCAGCTTTTCTGAATGTGGAGCTCTGGTTACTAGTTCAGCTGTGACTTAATAGGTTGTTGTTTATAAAATCTATGCACTGATACCAGAAGTGACATTTGTTTTGGGTGGCTGACTCTGAGAGAAAAAGAAGCAACCTTTCCTTTCATGTTCAGGAGGGAGCAGGTGCAAACACGAATCAAAATGATAATATTTTGTATTTTTTTGGTAAAATAATATTTTTGTAGTTGAAGGTAGATAGTGGACTCTGATAGTTCTGAGAAATCTTGCAAGTTAGTTGTAGGCTGTATGATCAAAGTCACCCTAAGACAATGCTGAGTGATCTATCAATGATGATCCCCTGAAATGGGTCAGCATGCAGATCTGAGAATTTGGTTCAATCCACATTAAGGGACACAGACCTTCAACTCTGTTTTATTTCAAACTAATCATGCTTAGGCCAATTAACTATAGTGAACTTTTTGCTTTATATTCCTCTGTTTGATGCCATATGGTGCTATTGGCGGAACTACACCACCAGTCAGATTCCACAAAAAGCTTTGGAATCTGGATTGTTTAATGTTTTATGTCATTTGATAAAGGTCACTAATGTTTGCTCATGAATTACATGCATTTGCTTGTGCTTGACTTAAACTGGTAATCTTATTTTTCTTAGTTACAACACTGACGATTTTCATGCGATCTGGTGTTTCGTTTGATTCCTAGTATATTCGTTTTCCTTGTGTGCCATGATTTTGTGTACTTCTTGTGCAATCATTTCTGTCAGTGACACAGCAAAAAAGCCCTAAGAGATGATGCACTTTACTCTGTCATAACCTTAATGTGATTATTGGTTTGTTTCAACTACAATTCTTGCAGATTTATCGCATGTGTTCGCATCTGTTAGCAGGGACATCAATTTCATCGATCACACCAATGACCTTGGATGGAAAGAGTAGGCTGCCCTATCCACATTTTGATAATATATTTGTTTGTATAAGTCCAGGTAAAATCTAAATACATTTGGTTAACAATTCTGATGTAGATCTCAAAGGTTCCAGCCCATTGTAGTTGATCCAGGGATTTATCTTGCACGAAGAACCCAGATCTTTTATGCTACAGAGAAGCGGACATTACCAGATGCTTTTAAAATATTCACAGGCAAGTTTATACTCTTGAAGCGACTTAACCATACATGTGTAGTAGTTTGCATCTTTGCTTAAAACTAGTTCATTTACTAGACAGTTACGATTTTCAAAATTGCAGGTTCCCCATGGGTCATCTTGAGTCGATCATTCATGGAGTACTGCATTCTCGGTTGGGACAGCCTTCCACGTGTCCTCCTCATGTATTTCAACAACGTGGTTTTATCTGAAGAGAGCTACTTCCAAACGGTCGTATGCAATGCACCAGAATTCAAGAACACCACTGTGAATAACAACCTGCGATTCATGGTGTGGGACAATCCTCCCAAGATGGAACCCCATTTTCTCAACAACTCGGATTACGATCTTTTATCCCAGAGCGGAGCAGCTTTCGCGCGGCAGTTTCGAAACGATGATTCTGTCCTTGGCATGATCGACGAGAAGATCCTCAGACGTGGTCGTAATCGAGTTGTACCAGGTGCGTGGTGCTCAGGTCGACCAAGCTGGTGGTCCGACCCTTGCTCCGAGTGGGGGGATGTGAATCTCGTGAAGCCGGGACCTCAGGCTAAAAAATTTGAAGAGACCATCTCAAATCTTCGTGATGAATGGAGTTCACAGATGAATCAGTGCAAAGATAGTGCATCATAAGTAATCCATCGATCAGTTTGCCTGTTGGTCTGCTTGGTGCAAGTATTTTTGCATCTGAATTTTGTCGAAAAGGAATCCCTTACGGTTCATCATTTCCAGGCGATCTCTGCTCATGGAAGTGTTAATCAAGAATTACTAGGCAAGAGTGGCAGAGTTGATTAGGGTTGGGAGGAAAGCAAGGGAATTTCACAGGATACAACTTTTGGGTAGCCAGTGTTTGGGATGATGCAGCCTGCAATAACAGTGAAATTCCATATTATAGTGCTGCAATTACATTGCTCTGTTGTTGATTTGTTGAACATTCTGTTCTTTCAGTCTCTCCCTTCAAATTGTAACACAAAGTACATTCCTTCAAAATTTTCATCCAACGCTTGTATCTGTCTATCAGAGGGTAGAGTACATAATCCAATGCCACACCAGCAGAACTTCAGCAAAAGAGAATAGTGTAAAGCATATTATTGAGTCCCAGAAACCAGAATCACCAGAGAAAATGACAAGAAAGAAACCACGGAATCTAATAGTGCTCTGAAGCTGTTAAAACTAGATTAATTACAGACCAAAACCATGGAATGAAACTAACAAGAAACCACCAAAGAACAACTCCCAGAGGCTAAGAACCCAGAAGAAGCCATCATAGGCCCTCTTGTTTCCAGCACTAGTAGCCTGTTTCCCCTGATCACCACCACTAATAGCCCCCACCACATTTGGATCTCCCCCTGCAAAAACCACAGCAAACCCAAGTAATCTAATTACTTACTCCTTCCTTACCAGTAACATGATCTGAAACTAAAAAAAAAAACCAGCATGTCAATTACCAGCTGGAGCAGGGCCAGGGCTAGGGCCACTCATCCCTTTGGAGCCCTTGTTCCCAAGTTGATAGAACACTTGGGCATCCGGCGAGTTTGGAGGCAAATGCAGCAACTCTGCAAAAGAATCCAACTTTCTTTCAGTCAAAATCAAATTCAAGCCAACTGAACAAAAAAGGGTGGAAAAAAGCTCAAATGGGTTCATCACAAACAAGAGAAAAAAGACAAGACCAGGGCACTTGGAGATATTGGCAGCCGAGGCAGAGTTGCAGACTGCAGGCAGAGACATAGCCAGGGTAAGGTTGATGTGGAGGCCCAACTGAGGGTCGTCCCTGTCCTTGATAATAACGCACAAGCACTTCTTGTTGGTGTTGAGAAGCTGCTTCAGCCCGCCGCAGCAATCTGGCGTCGGAGATTTCGCCGTGCCTCCCACGTACGGCAAGCAAGTAGCCAGCCCTGCTAGCTGCTCTGCACATTCCTCTATTTCCTTCTCCGACGACGAACTCCCGCCGCCGCCGGACGAGGGAGCGGCCGAGACCACAGTGCGGGCGCATCCGCTGCAGACTAAAACCATCAGAGCCAGCAACAGCATTTCGTTGAGTCTCATCTTCACGATTACGGATGGAAGTCGGATTATGCTACACAGACCCTGTAATTGAGCAGTTATACAGAGTGGGGCGAGACTTGAGAGTGTTTGTATAAAAGACAAGGGTATGTATATATATATATATATGGTCAGTGTGGTGAAGTGACTATGGACAGAAGGAATGATGAAAACTGGGAAATGGGTCGATTCAACAACCCCACTAGCTCACTAAGTGGGCGCATGGCAATTATGCTATGGGCTACTGAGAGCTTCATTTTTGTAAACTTGTAAAGCTGTTGGAGGCCTACAACAGATGGGCGGTCTCCCGCACTCGGGCGCCTACTTCTTATTATAGTTTCCATTCCCATTGCCGTTCCCATTGGCTTTTTTGTGTTTGTTTGTGGAGACTGGACACTGGACTCTGGAGTGGTATTTCCTTTTGGTTGCTTTGGCAACGATGACGCTTAGATGACTGCACCATGGATATTCACTGCCTAATCCCTTCTGGTGCCTCGTCCTCTTCTGGGCCTTTTCTTGTCATTGGGCTGCTATTTCAGTTCGTTACAGTCCGGGCTTCTTTAACGAACGTCAGCCCGTTTCTTATCAGCTTGCATTTCCTTTTCGGCCCATACTCATGCCGTCAACGGGTTGTGTAGGGGTGGGAATTCGGTTGCGGTTTTGCGGTTAAACTGCCAACCGCACCAAAACTGTGCGGTTAGTGGTTAACCGCAAGTTGAAAAATAGGGTATTTTGCGGTCGGGGTTAGCAATATTGCATGTTTTGCGGGTTAACCGCAACCGAACAACATGTAACCGCATTTTAACCGATTACTAACGCGATTACCTACAGTTAACCGCACTAACCGCGGTTAATTGCACTAACCACACTAACCTCTGTCACAATCGTAGACCAAAATGTCTCCAAACCATAAGTATGGTTAGCAACATGGTTAACCGCACTTTGCGGTTAGTGGTTAACCGCAAACCGCTTGCGGTGCGGTCGCGGTTGGTGTATATTGCTCCATTTCGATTCCCAGCCCTAGGGTTTTGCAGCAGTGAAGTGAATGCCAACGGTAGGTGCCTTCTCCAGTTAGTTCGGATTTTTTCATACCCATACCCACAGTTGTATCGAAAATCAAAACCATATTCATAATCGTTTGGGTTTCCGGTATATAAGATTATCTATGGAGATGATATTTCGTTATAACTCCAACCAATATGGTAACATTCACACGTGTATACTCACATTACATAAGAGGAAAAATACGACAATAAATCACTGGAATAAATAAAAATAATTTAAAACAACCAAATTTCATGAAAATATTATATTTGTATGCTAAATATAAAATATGTTGAGAAAAATAATTGATTATTTCTAGAGAAAATACATACTAATGTGTATAATCGAGTGGTTTTAGGTAGGATAGTGAGAAAACTATGTCCACTCATATGTAATCGAAACGGAGAATCGAAACAAAGAACAAGATCGAAACGGAACACGACACAAGATTTAACGTGGTTTCCTTGCTCGGTATGAGCAAGATTATTCCATGATAGGAAACAAAGTCTCGTATATTCATATGCTCAACAATTACATGCATACCCAAACATATATACTCGACATACTATAACCCTAGTTAGGCCGAGTTCCTCAAGCTACATATGGGCCTAGGATATGTGCATGGGCCGAATCCCATAACTCAATAGTCTCCCCCAAAATTGATGAAAATTTCTCATCATCAATTAGCTAGCAAGATAGGAGTGTCGCTCGCAGAAAATGCCGTAGTCAACAAGTCTGCAATCTGGTTTTCAGATGTAACATAAGCAAGTCTAATAGTCCCAGCATCAACCAGATCTCGAATATAGTGACGATGCACCTCAATGTGCTTTGTCCTGTCATGAATAACTGGATTAGTTGCAATCTGAATCGCACTAGTGTTGCCGACATATAACTGCATAGGGAGCTAAGAAACGACACCCAAGTCACCAAAGAGTCATTGAAGCCACTCTAGCTTCGATGTCACATCAGACATAAAACGATATTCTGCCTCTGTAGAAGACTTGGAGACAGTGGCTGATAACGATATAATTACATGATTTTATACCCCTATTTCTTATCCATTTGCGGAGCATGGTTGTGTGTTTTGGCCTATTTTACGCCGGGTTGTGCTACTTTGTCCTATTTCAGGTCCCAGGCGTCAAAGGGAAGGCCAAGCACGAGTTTCGGATCGTTTGGAAGTCGTTTGGACGAGCCAGGGCCAAAACACGGGCAGGAGGCCCTCAGAACACGGCCGTGTTCCTGTGACCGTGCTTTTATGGCCGAGGCTTCCAAGGGTGGCGTGCACAACCTAAAAAACACGGGCAGGCCTGAGGAAAGCACGGCCGTGTTTGAGGCAAAACACGACCGTGCCCTCGACCGTGTTTTGGCCAATGATGCCCTTTTAGGCAGATTTCAGCCAAATTGAGAGGGGATTCGAGTTTTACAGAGATAGAACGATTCCTAGAGAGGGAAAGCGACGAACAAGAGTCTCCAAGTGCCCTAGATCGATCTTCAACACCATTGGAGCTTGGTTTGAGCTTGGAGAAGTGCCGATTCAACGTCCAAGAGCAAAAATCCATCTTCACAGTATGATTTCCGCATCTGATTCTGCTTTTGCTTCTCTCTCCATGGAGTAGTTCTCCCATTCATCTGGGTGTGGGAAACCCTAGTTCTGTATGTTGAGATTGATTGTATGAACCCGAGTACTATTTCTATGAATTGATTATATTCGATTGAGGTTTGAATGATTGAATGACTTGAATCCTGATCAAATTCCTGTTGTTTCTGCTTTAACCTAGAATGAGAATATCTGACTAGGTTGATAGAGCATCCTTGATTGAAGGTAGGGAGTTGGTGACTTTAGTCGAGGAACCAACTCACTATTCTGTACCGGCTTTACTCCGGTAGTGGAGGTTTCGTTCTTAGGGCCTCAATCTGTTTACTCTGGTGTAGGTTAGTCGCCAGCTAGAGACTCAGATTGAGAGGGTCTGAAGACCTTTAGTCGAGACTTCAGACTGATTAAGAACCTTCCGCAGTATAACTTTCATAGAAATTGAACTTGGTAATTACAATCCGGCTTAACTGCAGTCTAGGGGGAACCATATCCGGGTGACCTCTCTTAACCTGAATACAAACGTTTAGTTGCTTTGCTTGCTTGTTAGTCTAGGCCTTCACTAAAGTTTCACTGCTAGATAATACGAATTCACTGAGTAGTCATCACATCTAGGACCCGGGTTGACATTGAAACCCAAACCCGCTATACTACGCTTTAGGAAGTGGTTACACTTGGCCATTTTCTAGAGTGATAGTAGGAGTGAGTCAAGTTTTTGGCGCCGTTGCCGGGGACGGCTAGGTTGTTGAAGAAAAGTGATTTCTGTTACTTTAGCATTTTCATTTATTGCATTGAGTTTTTGTTCTTCCCACTTGTGCCTTCACGGGGTTTGCATTGCTTGATTGTGTGCAGATAGTGCATGACCCGTAGCCAGTCGGGAGGTTTACTGCCGTTGAATCCGGAAATTGAGCGCACTTGCAAACAGCTTCGGAGACAACAGCAAGCTAGACTGGCT